GTGAACCAATGGTCCATACGATATTAAACTATAATTATTGATCTGAAGCAATCTTAAGTTAACCATTGTTTCAAAAGATTTTGTATCAAGTATAACATCGTTATATTTCTCTGCTTCAGGCTTTATTAATCTTTCCTTAAAGTCTAGTACAACTCTTTGTATGAATATCCCGAAGGATTATTATCACGAATTTCAAGAAATAAAGATTTGTGTGTAAAAATTGTAACTGTAGGGTTGAAATTGTAATTGATCCATCACCTTCTCAACACGTTCATTGAGTCCCCCTAGAAACTCAGCCACAATCATAAGAATATTACTTAACTCCTTCAAAACCGTTTTCAGCAAAAGACTATCAAATTCTCATATACGCCTTCATCACTAAGCCACGAAAACAACAAAAAGTAAAACAAAGTATAGAAGAATCAAAAGAACAATCCATGAGAGCACAAGCCGTACCACTGGATAAATCATTAAAAAATATTATTAAAGTCATTTTAACGATGATTTTTAACTAAATTCACATGCTTCTTTGACATGTGGTGACTCGGGAAATCTGATTTCGAGTGAGTAGCTATAGTTCAAGTGACATGTGGTGACTCGGGAAAATTGATTTTGTGTGACTAACTATAATTTATTTCATGCTAGTTTATTCTTCTATTGTAAATCACAAGTTTGAAATATATGAAATACTTTTTCCACACTCATACTTTAACTATTATTGCAAAAATAGATGATTACGAAATTGAAAAACATGTTATTGAAAACAAAGCCAACAAGTCCACCAAGTTGTTTCATAGAATCTCTCCACTTGGAAACCATAACATTGTCAAATTTCTTTTTCTATATTTTGTCTTGTTCTAACAAATGTTATATTTCAGGAAACCATAACTTGACAAAGGATTTTTGTGCGTAAGTTTTTAGCATTTCAGAAAACTCTAGATTCAATTCTAACAAATATTTCAAAATTATCGGTTAACAAAAAGAGACAAGAGTTGTTACCTATTTAATTTTGTTGTTGGGGAAAATGAGAGTCACTTCTCTATATGAATAAATCACTTTGAACATAAAATATATGCGAACCAGACAATATCCCTCTTGGTTCATTTAATACATAAGTGTTGAACTAACACAAACACTAATAGACTCCAAATTACTATATTAAACTATTAAAGTCTCATATTGCCGAGTTAGCAAAGAAGCATAAAATATGTCAGATATAAAAAACACAACAAGCATGAATTTCAACTCATACCTTTCTCGGCCTTTTGACTAAGATCAAGTGTAGTATTTGTTCTTATTTTCTTGAGGGAGAGAGTCAACTACAATAATTTGCAATTGAGTCTCTTATGTGTTGCTTTTACGCTGCACTATTGCAATAGCCTGACAAACCCCACCAATCCTAGTTCTAATTTTATTTCATTAAACTATAATAATAACGATAATACTTTTTTACTTTTCTTTTCCTTATTCTAGACAAATGTCAAGTTACTTGTGTAGAATGCAGGTAGGTGCAAGAAATTGGGGAACTATCATACCCTTGAAGCCAACTTCACTCAGATGTCTGCAAGTTGAATAAAACTCCCAAAATCTTCACTTGAGTGGACAGATTCAAGTTTTTCATAACCACCTTATTGACACTGCACAATATAAATACATCAAAGATCTTGTATAAAAAGCCAACATGGGCATTCTAATCCCATAAATTATCATTCAATGAATATATGAAGTATATTCATAAATTATCATTTCACCCACAATTGGTAAAAAATGACTTTGATTGTATTCTTCTTGATAAATAATCCATCAATTAAAGTAAATATTTTCCAAGTATAGATAAATGATTTTGTGTTGTTTTAAAATTTTAAAAAACAAATGATGACAGCTGTGGGATTTGAACCCACGCCCTTTCGGACCAGAGCCTAAATCTGGCGCCTTAGACCACTCGGCCAAACTGTCTTGATATATAAAAACACCACTTACTCTAATATTTTGATTGACTGATATATAAAAAATTAAAGAACATATGAGAAAGGATCCAAAAGGGGTATAGGTCATGGTGTTTGTAAATCATAGAAATTTAAGCAAAAACATTCATACATTTTTAAGGAGTTCTACGGCTAGACATGAAAGACCCAATTAAACCCAAAAAAAATACTCATTTCACTAATCATGTAGAAATTCCCCTCGGAAAACTCGAGGCAATAGTGATTCAGGACTTAGTATGTGAATGCTGCTTCTTCAACTTCTGGCTTTGTTCCCAAAACAGAATCAAATTTCTCTAATGTTTCCTCGTACTTGGCATTCCATCAGCATTTAATCCAGGAAAGTAATGAACCTTAAGAAGATGCCATTAATTCTTTGGTCCTAATCTACATTACAATTTCATATGGCAAATGTTTTGTGTCTTACATCTCTATCATATCTTTACAAGAAAAAAGTCACCAATCCTATACTCCTTATTTCAATATTGTGGACTGGAGGTGCAACAGCCTGTGTTCCCTCCACTCTCAGGAGTAGGAGGTGTCCGCTGCTCCGTGAAACCAGCCTCACATAATACCCTCGCAGCTCTTAATAAATTTGTAAATCACCATTATTAATAAAGTAGTTTATAAGATATCATGGAGAGCATGTCAAAACAAGCATTAAACAACTTATAGACATGTGATATGTTGCTTCCATAAACCCTTCTAAACAGTCTTATCCAAATAGATACGCTTAAATAACGCAATCCAAACAAACCCTAGACCTTCAATTCACAAGCTAGCGTTACTCAACTCGGTAACCATGTGTGATATTCTAGCCAATGCGGAATTTAATGGATATAAATTTGCGTAGTATTAAGTTAGCACATGGTTTCTTAAATGGATTACTTTGTCCTGAGCACTCCCAAACTAGTTTTAACATGTTATAACACTAATCCAAAAATATTGCAGCCGATATTGCAGCCATAGTAGGCATGCAAGGGTTCAATCAAGTAGGAGTTAACTGAAAGTATAGGAAAATAACATTCCAAGATACAAAACGCAAATTAACATTTCATAAAAAAACATGTTGTCTCTGCCATGTTTATTAAAGAATATACTTCTATTATGAAATGCCAAGGGCAAGATAAAAATGAAGGAAATAATGGTAAGAGGATTAGTAACAAGCATGCCAAACTGATTGTACTTCAAATGTTCAAGTTTTGTCGGTATAATATTTTATGTGATGATATGATAGCATAATATTGTGATTTAGTTTTCAGACATACATATAATAAATTAGGATCTTAGCTCAAGTACAATATTCATTCCCAAACTCCATTATAGAGTTTAATTCAATATGTGTGTATTTGACAATTGTTCTCATAAAATGATGAAGGTATACAAAAAACAGAGATTGTGATAAATGTTCATTCATTAATAAAAAGAATGACTTCTGGTGTATGAGTATATATACAACATTATACATAATCATATGCACAAATGTCAAAACTATCTTCACTAAACCATGTGCATTGATTTGAGAAAAAATCCTAATAATTTTCAGTCACCACTTATTTAAGGACTTAGGACTTGGTTTTTGTTAAATTGAACTTAATTAGGGAAATAGTTCAACTTTTGCCGGGATTTTACTGCTTTAGTTTTGAGGCATTTCAGGAAACTCTAGATTCAGTCTTGCTCTAACAAATGTTATATTTCAAAATTATTAATAAAACCAAAAAAGTCGACAAGAATTGTTACCTATTTAATTCTGTTGCTGCAGAAAATGTATATGAACCAGACAGTCTTCCTCTTGGTTTAATTACTGTTACATAAAAGAAAATTACAAAAGTATTGAGCAAACTCCAAGGTATAGTATTAAAGTCCCACATCGCTGAGTTATCAAAGAAGAAAAAACATATCTGGTATAAAAAAGACAACAAGCATGACTTTAAATTCATACCTTTCTCGGCCTTTTGGCTAAGATCAAGTGTAGTATCTGTTCTTATCAGTTTAATATCTGATATGTGGGCCAATGGTCCACACGATATTAAATTTATTTCTTGAGGGGGAGAGACCACCAAAATAGCTTGCTATTGGGTCTCTTGAGTGTCACTTTTGCATTGCACTGTTGCAATAGCTTGGCACACCCCACCAAACCTAGTTCAAATTCTATGTCCTTCTTACTAGATCCACAATATTGTCATTGGTGGAGCCTACATCATAATTCTATGTCATAACACTAATCATTGAAAAATGTGGTTGAGGGATTTAATCTACATATATAGAGGGATAACTGGACACTCAAAAAGTTAATATCCAAAACCAATGACAATTTGTAAAGTGAAAAAACATATATACCTACCTGGTTTAGCTTAGAGTAACAACAAGCAACATTATAACTTGCCACTGCTGCTTCATCGGGCTATAGCTTTGTTCCCAAAACTGAGTCAAATCACTCTAATGCTTCCTCGTACTTAGCATTCCTTCGGCATTTAAACAAGAAAGTAATGGACATTAGGGTTATCAGGAAGATACCATTATTTTTTTTATTCTAATCTAGATATACTCCTAGCAAATTGGATGCTTCAAAATTAAAGCATTTTTTTGCCTCAAACTAGGCGTTGCAGATTACAATTTCATATGAGAATGTCATGTCTATCTTGTCGTTACAAGAAACAAGTCACCAATCCTTAATTTCTTATTCTAATAAGCAATTGAGTAATAAAGGAAAATATTTACTTAATCCAGCACAACTTTACGTTTTTTGTTTTTTTGCATTTTTGCATGTATTTTTGTATTTTTGCATGTATTTTTGTATTTTTGCATGATTACATGTAATTCAGTATTAAATCCAGGAAAGTAATGGATAACAGTGAAATGCCATTAATTCTTTAGTCCTAACCTATATTACAATTTCATACCTCGAGAAATATAACCATGTGTACCAGCAAAAAAGCTAAAACCCGTCTGAGATATTTCAGCAACACCAAAATCAACAATTTTTGTCACATAATCTTCATCAAGCAGCTGAAATCCTCAACCATCACCTTTCTCTAATTGCTTCACAACCACTACCATCCTGTTTTTCTTCAGCGTGATTCGATAAACCTTTCCGTTACCACCATGGCCGATTAAATTATCTTCGTCCAAATGACTTATTTCATCAGCATCAATATCCACTTGTGAAAAGATGCTAGTTTCCATTTTTTTACTTGCTTCCTTTTGACATTTTTGTAACTTGTTTGCCCTTTGAATCCTGAAGCTTCTACACATCAAAACCGCGGTGATGAAGATAACAATAATGACCAAGAGCATTACATATTTATAACCAAAGAGAACTCTTCTATGACCATGATCTTTATCACAAATCTTCAAATCAGAATTTATTGAACTTTTTGGAATTTTCTCAACACATGAACCTTTGTTTCAACCAAAAACAACACTGGATGTTAAACATTTTGATTCAGTCATGTCTCAAACATTATGGATCAAACATAAAGTACACTGTTTTACGTTTTAAAAAAGAATTTTGAAGTTCATATATATAAAATGACACCACATGTAATGTACAATAACTTGGTCATACAATATTCACTAAATTAGGCCTCTAATTAGAACTGATAACCTGGTGAGCATGAAACGATATCACTGATCTCAAAGTGTATCAAAGTCATATTAAAAAAGTTGAGATTAACCATCACTATAATGAATGTGATTATTAGCCATTAGTCATGACTATAGGTGAAAAGTCATATAAGTAACTAAATAGATCATTTGAAAGGCTTCTAATGCATTATTATAATTAGCTAAATGGATTATTTGAAAAGCTTATAATGCATTATTTGAGCATGATATTATATCACTAATCTCAAAGTACTAAAGTCATATGTGTTCAAAGGTTATTCTTCTCAAAAATATTAATGCAACATCAAACTCCATAATCTTAAAAGCTCAAAGAGAGAATGGGAAATTACAGTCCCCGTGGCATTACATAAACAAAAAATAATACAAGGAAAACAATATAACATGCTCAAACCATGTCCAAGTAACATTACCATGCACATATATTTTTATTCAAACTACAGGAGGCAAATTGGACGGACCATATAAAAGAGGCTTGAATTTCAAGTCTCCCATTCATGTCTTGGGGTCAGAGTGAACCAAAGAAACACCATATAATAAAATAGAGGTAAGTAAAAACTATTGAGCTGTGATTGGTGCCATTAATAGTATTAATAGAAATGGACAATTTTATTGATCATAAAGTTTCTTATGTATCATACTAGTACATAAAACAAGATACTGCAAAGGTGGCAACAAAAAAATTGAGACCTATAATTAACTACAAAATATACACGGCGAAATCAAATGTGATGGAATCATATTGCTCAATCAATTCCTTAGAGTTAAACCGGTTGTTTTCTTGTGTCGACGCAAAGGGGTTATTTCTTAATAAATATTCCAAAAATTGATTTGATGGAATTGATAAATGATTCATGGAATCTTTTCAATAACGGGTCGAATTCTGGGGATGCCCATGCATTTGCAAGGTCAGGATCAGTTCTAATTCTGTGTTAAACATAACAGCATTAATATGAACCAAAAAAAGAGATGGTTCAGGGGCTAGGCTCACCAGGTTATCAGTTCTAATTCTGTGTTAAACATAACAGCATTAATATGAACCAAAAAAAGAGATGGCTAATTCTGTGTTAAACGGTCGGAAGGTGTTCTAGACTAGCGTGACCGGAACCTCTGAGGATAGAAAGCCCGCTGCTTACCATATTATGCTAGCAACTTCACACCGACAGAGAGCAAAGATAAGGCGGAATGGAGACCATAGGTCTCCGCGCCGGCTCAAAAAGAAAGGTTCTTACTCCGAGAAGACTTACCAAAAAGAGCCAAAGCGTTCAGGTCAGCACCTCGACCTTCGCCTACTTCGGAAGGATCCAATGAAAGTTGCATAACAGCATTCATTAATATGAACCAAAAAAAGAGATGGCTAATTCTGTGTTTAAACATAACAGCATTCATTAATATATGAACCAAAAAAAGAGATGGTTCATGGGCTAGGCTCACCAGGTGTTGTGGGCCGGAGGTGCAACGGCCCGTGATCCCCCCACTGTCAGGAGTAGGAAGTGATCGCTGCTCTGTGAAACCAGCCTCACGCAATACCCTCCTGTCTAAGACTCACAAGACCCGTGCCTTCGCCTACTTCGGAAGGATCCAATGAAAGTTGCATAACAACATTCATTAATATGAACCAAAAAAAGAGATGGCTAATTCTGTGTTTAAACATAAACAGCATTCATTAATATATGAACCAAAAAAAGAGATGGTTCATGGGCTAGGCTCACCAGGTGTTGTGGGCCGGAGGTGCAACGGCCCGTGATCCCCCCACTGTCAGGAGTAGGAAGTGATCGCTGCTCTGTGAAACCAGCCTCACGCAATACCCTCCTGTCTAAGACTCACAAGACCCGTGCCTTCGCACAAGTCCCATGGGTCAACTCGCAACTTGGAGCGGGCAGGCCAGCATGGTGCAACTACCAGACCAACCTGTTAAGCCTTAGCCATGTTCCAACACCTTGATGCCCCCACATGGGTCACAAGCTGGCGCTACTCAGCTCGGCAAACTAACTAGCATGTCAAACATTTATAAACACATGTTTGTGTGATGTTCTAGCCAATGTGGGACTTAATGGATATAAATTTGTATAGTATATATGCTATTAGGCTGGAACATGTTATAAAACTGATGATTGAAAAGATGTGGTTGTAAAGGCTTACTTTGTACTAGGCACTCCCCCACAAATTTCGACATGTTATAACACTAATCATTGAAAATATGTTGTTGAAGGAAAAGTGTTAAAAACCGTAATAAGGAAAACTCTTGGTTCAATATTCCCTGAGTTTGTTACTGACTACACCAGACAAAATAAACTAACCATGTTTTTTCTGCATTCTCATGAGTAACAGGTCTATTCTTTGGCGAATTATGTACATTGTTCTTCCACATTCCGCAGTTGGCCGAATTTCGGTCCCAAAAACAGCACAGCACTGCAGATGTTGAACATTTTGTTTCAGTCATATCTCAAATTCAAATAGATAAGCTTAAATAACACAATCCAAACAAACAAACCCTAAGTCTTCAATTCAAATAAGTAAGTTGAAGATGATGATGAAGAAGAATAAAAACAAGAGCGTAAACCTGATTCCTTGAAGCTTCTTCTTTAGATGAAACTTTCACCACAAAAAGGAATGCTTTTGATTTTGAGAAACTATACGAAAAAGGGTTTGTTGGCGGTGGGAACAAAAGAATAGCGAGTGAGAGCTCTATCAATTTGCTACTCCCGCGGAATTTTTATATTTTTCCAATTTTATAATTAATCTATAAATCATTTATTTATAAACTAATTATTTAATAATTTATATTATTGATTTTGTTTTTATTTAATAATCATTTAGGTTTACGTTACTAATGTCGTCATCTTATTCTTCAAATCCTCTTAAGATAGGTTATTCGGTGTAAATATGAACATTATTGTTCTGACTATAAAATAGTTTTGGCACTATAACTTAGAGAACTTGTCAGTACACCCTGGTTGAATCTCATAAATACTCTCATGAAAAGTATCAGTCAGAGGTGTGACCGAAAAATATATGTCCTTAAAAATTTTCAAACTGTCAATATACACTTAAAACATATTTCATTACTACAAATAACGTTTGTAACGTCGGATGCAAAATGCGTTTTACATCGACTATCCAGGCGAGCTAAATAAGATCGTCATGAAAAAACTCAACTTAACACCTCGCTATTTTAAACACCGAGGTTATAATTGAAAAGGTCATGGATTCGATCCATTGGAACTCCATATTTTTATTTTCTACATTTTGTTGCGCGCGTCATATAACTGTCAGTTTTATTTATAATCTGAGGTAATAAGGTATTCATTTACCTCGGTTTTATGTAATAATTGATAGGGATTTAAAATGAAGTTTTTTGGCTATATTTATCAATTTCACTAGCCTGTATCATTTTTTGCATGTACCATTTTCACCGGCCTGTATCGTATCATTATAATAAATCTATTAACCTGCCGGTATCATTTTTTACACAAAAACTACAAAATATGTAACAGAATTGGAATATATCATATCATTTTAAACCAAATGTGCAAATTTACATTGTTATCATCAAGAGAGAGTACACTTGTTTGACATGATCATATATGCGCATCAAAATGACAAAACCTTTGTTTGTATACAGAATAAGATTATAGCAACCAAGAAAAACTATTGTTGTGGTTGTCGAGCTTCATAATGAGATAAGAAGACATTGGCCCGACGTGATCGGATGTCATCAATATCTTCTTTTGATTATGGTTTTTGGATGCTCATCTCCTATAATTAGAACAAAATTTAAACTATGATACCTTCCAATTAGAGAAACATAATCCATTGTCAATTCGTTAGGCTAGCAACATAACTTCCAAATTGATCGGTAGAAATCTCTTGTGGTACATGAGCAGTCTTTAAAATTTTCATTAAAGCTTGTGCCTGAGCTTCGGAACACAGTAGCAGGGATAACATATAGGTCTTGGATGGGGTTTTCCCCAGCTGTTCAAAAAAATTGTAATTGCTTCTATGATCTTCAAAACCTCTTCCATTTCTTATCTAGAGGTATCCTTGATTGTAGCTTCTTTTGGTACCTCCATTTGGGCAGGCTCTATCATTGGCTCTTTACCTCGAGCTTCGGCAGTCGTCTTGGTAATTGTGACTTGAACAGGTGGAGAGATTTATAGGGAGATGATCCTTATGCTTCTTGTTATTTTACTGTTCCCTATAATATTGACAATACTGGGATCAACATATTCATCATCTTCGTTAGACAACTCTTGTTTAATATCAATAGCACTTATGCCTTTGTCATGCTTCGGTATAGGAGCAGTAATCACGTTTGGAGTCTCAAGAGGGTCGAACTCAATTTCCTTCGCAAGACATTTAATTAAAGTAAATATTTTCCAAGATAGCCTGCATCTTTATAGATAAATGATTTTGTGTTGTTTTAAAATTTTTAAAAACAAAATGATGACAGCTGTGGGATTTGAACCCACGCCCTTTCGGACCAGAGCCTAAATCTGGCGCCTTAGACCACTCGGCCAAACTGTCTTGATATATAAAAACACCACTTACTCTAATATTTTGATTGACTGATATATAAAAAATTAAAGAACATATGAGAAAGGATCCAAAAGGGATAGAGGTCATGGTGTTTGTAAATCATAGAAATTTAAACAAAAACATTCATACATTTTTAAGGAGTTCTAGGGCTAGACATGAAAGACCCAATTAAATCCAAAAAAAATACTCATTTCACTAATCATGTAGAAATTCACCTCAGGGAAAACTCGAGGCAATAGTGATTCAGGACTTAGTATGTGAATGCTGCTTCTTCAACTTCTGGCTTTGTTCCCAAAACAGAATCAAATTTCTCTAATGTTTCCTCGTACTTGGCATTCCATCAGCATTTAATCCAGGAAAGTAATGAACCTTAAGAAGATGCCATTAATTCTTTGGTCCTAATCTACATTACAATTTCATATGGCAAATGTTGTGTCTTACATCTCTATCATATCTTTACAAGAAAAAAGTCACCAATCCTATACTCCTTATTTCAATATTGTGGACTGGAGGTGCAACAGCCTGTGTTCCCTCCACTCTCAGGAGTAGGAGGTGTCCGCTGCTCCGTGAAACCAGCCTCACATAATACCCTCGCAGCTCTTCATAAATTTGTAAATCACCATTATTAATAAAGTAGTTTATAAGATATCATGGAGAGCATGTCAAAACAAGCATTAAACAACTTATAGACATGTGATATGTTGCTTCCATAAACCCTTCTAAACAGTCTTATCCAAATAGAAACGCTTAAATAACGCAATCCAAACAAACCCTAGACCTTCAATTCACAAGCTAGCGCTACTCAACTCGGTAACCATGTGTGATATTCTAGCCAATGCGGAATTTAATGGATATAAATTTGCATAGTATTAAGTTGGCACATGGTTTCTTAAATGGATTACTTTGTCCTGAGCACTCCCAAACTAGTTTTAACATGTTATAACACTAATCCAAAAATATTGCAGCCATAGTAGGCATGCAAGGGTTCAATCAAGTAGGAGTTGACTGAAAGTACAGGAAAATAACATTCCAAGATACAAAACACAGATAAACAATTCATAAGAAAACATGTTGTTTCTGCCATGTTTATTAAAGAATATACTTCTATTATGAAATGCCAAGGGCAAGATAAAAATGAAGGAAATAATGGTAAGAGGATTAGTAACAAGCATGCCAAACTGATTGTACTTCAAATGTTCAAGTTTTGTCGGTATAATATTTTATGTGATGATATGATAGCATAATATTGTGATTTAGTTTTCAGACATACATAGAATAAATTAGGATCTTAGCTCAAGTACAATATTCATTCCCAAACTCCATTATAGAGTTAATTCAATATGTGTGTATTTGACAATTGTTCTCATAAAATGATGAAGGTATACAAAAAACAGAGATTGTGATAAATGTTCATTCATTAGTAAAAAGAATGACTTCTGGTGTATGAGTATATATACAACGTTATACATAATCATATGCACAAATGTCAAAACTATCTTCACTAAACCATGTGCATTGATTTGAGAAAAAAGCCTAATAATTTTCAGTCGCCACTTATTTAAGGACTTAGGACTTGGTTTTTGTTAAATTGAACTTAATTAGGGAAATAGTTCAACTTTTGCCGGGATTTTACTGCTTTAGTTTTGAGGCATTTCAGGAAACTCTAGATTCAGTCTTGCTCTAACAAATGTTATATTTCAAAATTATTAATTAAACCAAAAAAGACGACAAGAACTGTTACCTATTTAATTCTGTTGTAGAAAATGAGATCCACTTCTTTGCATGAACAAAATCACTTCAAACAGAAAATGTATATGAACCAGACAGTCTTCCTCTTGGTTTAATTACTGTTACATAAGAGAAAATTACAAAAGTATTGAGCAAACTCCAAGGTATAGTATTAAAGTCCCACATCGCCGAGTTATCAAAGAAGAAAAAACATGTCTGATATAAAAAAGACAACAAGCATGACTTTAAATTCATACCTTTCTCGGCCTTTTGGCTAAGATCAAGTGTAGTATCTGTTCTTATCAGTTTAATATCTGATATGTGGACCAATGGTCCACACGATATTAAATTTATTTCTTGAGGGGGAGAGACCACCAAAATAGCTTGCTATTGGGTCTCTCGAGTGTCGCTTTTGCGTTGCACTGTTGCAATAGCCTGGCACACCCCACCAAACCTAGTTCAAATTCTATGTCCTTCTTACTAGATCCACAATATTTTCTTAAATGTTATATTATTTTTTATTTTTCATCATGCTTCTATGCATATATGTTTTCTTATTTATTTGTTTTGTTCACAACTAGGAATTTTTTACTTAAGAAAACTATATTTGCATTATCTCAAACTACAAATTAAAACATACCCTCAAAAATGTATGAGATTGCAACTGATAATTTTGCTTCCAATCAAGAAATTGGGATCTGACTATAAAACCCTATAATTTGGAGAGAGAGAAAATTGAACAAGAAATCATGTCAAAGAGATAGTCGTAAACTCGATCTGAAACAGTATGTCGACACAAGATTTCACTGGAACAAAGAAAATGAGAGAAACTATATCAAACAAATTCACACAAGAAAAAGGAATTGAAGAGAGGAAGATACTCAATTTTTATGGATCTGAATTAATAGCAGAAATGGAATGATAAAACTGTTTGCTATATTGTGTTATAATACTCAGTCAAAATGAACCACTTCCTAATGGAGACATAAAGGAATAGGAATGTTATAATACTACTTATAATGTTATACAAGCTAACAAATAAAAATTAGAAAGAAAAGCTGAATCCTACCTTCTGCATTTCAAGTAATAACTAATAAAGGAATTAGGCAGTATTTCTTGATCTTTAATCCTTACCTAATTTAGGTGATCATCAAGGATACATATCCTCCTTGCTAGTCAGATCCAATCTTTAATTTCTTCGAGTTTTCGAGTAATCAATAGGGTATATTGATCTGTAAGTACCATGGACTCTAGAGTATTTTCAACTCATACCTTCCTGATTGAGTTTTTGGAAGCATAATATCAAACTTGAAAGGAATGAATAGAAGAAAGTTACTCTATTCATTTTGATTGAGCTCTTTGAAGGACAATGTCAAACTTGAAAGGAATGATTAGAAGAAGACTATATTAGTATCCAACACATAACAAAGTAGTGGATATAAAAAGCGATTGGGCAATAGATGTAATGTCGGGGAAGATGTCCTCAAGACCTATCAAAGGCCTAGGAAATACATTGCTTACTGGTAGTTGATTAATTCCTACTCTTCCACAAACTCCATAATATCATAGCAAAGATACTCCTTTTCTCCTTTGATAGTGCATTTAATATGTGAAAGATTTTCTCTCCAATGTTCCTACCTAGTAGCAGTCTAAATGCTCTTATTACACTGCAGCAGCACCTGCTCTGCTGTCTCCAACTCCAAGTTAGACCACTGACAATCACTAGCCACTTGCACCCCTTTTTCGATCAATCTTACACAAGTTGGGAAATACTTTGCCTACAGGTAGTTGAGTCACACATCGAAAGAAGGTGAAAGGTATTGTGAGAAACAAGAGTATAAAATAACTTGAATACCATCATTGCAAGTTACTTACCTGGATGGGGTCAATGGTTGATCATGAAGGACCATGGCCTAGGAGAGTGACCTCCATTGCACTTAAGAGGGGTGCTAACCTAAGGTCTACCCAAGTGGTGGAGCCTACATCATAATTTGTTGCAATGGGGGCCTGCGTTCGCGCGGCCCCCTCTTATTCCAATTTTCAAATACTTTTTACATCATAACTTTTATGGTTTTTTATATTTTTTATAATAATAATAATAATAATAGTGTTGGAATCTCAATAGGTTGGCAACAAGCAAAATTATAACTTGCCACTGCTGCTTCATCAGGCTCTGATTTTGTTCCCCAAACAAACTCAAATTACTCTAATGCTTCCTGAAGGTAATGGACGGTGAGATCAACTTTTTCTCTCAAACTAGGTGTAGCAGATTATAACTTGCCATCAATAGTTTTAGTCTTAATATAAATATGTATACACCTAGCGAATTTGATGCTTCAAAATTGAAGCATTTTTCCTCCCAAACTAGGTGTTGCAGATTGTAATTTCTTATGGAAAATGTTTTGTTTTTTATATTTTTTACATCATAACTTTTTACATCATAACTTTTATGGTTTTTTATATTTTTTATAATAATAATAATAATAATAGTGTTGGAATCTCAATAGGTTGGCAACAAGCAAAATTATAACTTGCCACTGCTGCTTCATCAGGCTCTGATTTTGTTCCCCAAACAAACTCAAATTACTCTAATGCTTCCTGAAGGTAATGGACGGTGAGATCAACTTTTTCTCTCAAACTAGGTGTAGCAGATTATAACTTGCCATCAATAGTTTTAGTCTTAATATAAATATGTATACACCTAGCGAATTTGATGCTTCAAAATTGAAGCATTTTTCCTCCCAAACTAGGTGTTGCAGATTGTAATTTCTTATGGAAAATGTTTTGTTTTTGCCATGCCTATATTGTCTTTACTAGGACAAAGACACCAATCCTTTAATCCTTATTTAATAAACAATTAAGTAATAGAAGAAATGATTAACCAAATCCAGCACTATGATTTTTGTAGGTATGCATGGTTATATCTTTCAATTGCAAACTAAATTTCATAAAAATGTACAGTAATGGCATATGTGAAATAACAATTCAAGAAAAAAACAATTTTTTGAGTCTTGTAGTTTTACTTGCATAATACCTTCTCTCAAATCATTTTCCCTCAATTCTTTTTTCTTATGACAGTTTTGCATTGGGAATTTTTATCATATCTCAAGCATTTTGATTCAGTCCCAAAATATGGTGTACATTGTTGATGTTGAACATTTTGACTTAATCATTATGGATCAAACAAAAGTACAAGGTTTTACTTTTCAAAATAGGATTTTGAAGTTCATATATACAAAATGTACACACAAAAATAACTTGACCAAACAACCTCAAAGTGTATCAAAGTCATTTTCAAAATTTTAGACAGAAAAGTTGCAAAAAAAAAATCACCAGCCTCTAGAGATTGTTAGAAATGATTTTGTTTGGATAAACACATGAACATAAAAACGGTTTTCACTTCAACCAAACTACCAATTAGGAGCACAAGTATAGAAAATATTATAAGCCAACAAGCTAATTTACAAAGTAGTTCTGCTGTCAAATGTGAGTTATGTCTTAATGTTTAATCACTAAGTGAAAATATTTAAAATTAAGAGGAAGGAAATGAGAGTGTGATCTTCAACTTGTATTCTAATATAATAGCAAGTTTGTAGTAACGAGACTTAATCTGAAATTTTTAATAAAGGTCGAGTATTGTTTGCTTTTCCTTTTTGGACTATGCCAAATTGCAAGGATCCATGGTGTTTGTAAATCAGAGATTTAAGCTAAAGCATTCATAACTTTTTAAGGGCATGGCACCCAAAATGTATGAGTCCCACCCATCAAAAAGAGATGGTTCAGGGGCCTAGGCTCACCAGGTGTTCCTCACGCTATACCCTTCTGTCTAGGACTCACAAGACCCGTGCCTTCGCATAAGTCATGTGGATTCAACTCGTAACTTGGAGCGGGCAGGCCAGCATAGTGCAACCACTAGACCAACATGTTAACCCTTATAGCCATGTTCCATCACCTAGGTGCCCCCACATGGGTCACAAGCTAGCGCTACTCAGCTCGGCAAACTAACAAGCATGTCAAACATTTACGAACACTTTTTTGTGTGATGTTCTAGCCAATGTGGGACTTAATGGATATAAATTTGTATAGGATATATAATATTAAGATGGAACATGTTATAAAACTAATAATTGAAAATATGTGGTTGTAAAGGTTTGTTAAATGGCTTGCTTTGTACTCGGTACTCCCCAACTACTTTTGACATGTCATAACACTAATCATTGAAAAATGTGGTTGAGGGATTTAATCTACATATATAGAGGGATAACTGGACACTCAAAAAGTTAATATCCAAAACCAATGACAAAGTAGTGGAATGTAGCACATACAATTTGTAAAGTGAAAAAACATATATACCTACCTGGTTTAGCTTAGAGTAACAACAAGCAACATTATAACTTGCCACTGCTGCTTCATCGGGATATAGCTTTGTTCCCAAAACTGACTCAAATCACTCTAATGCTTCCTCGTACTTAGCATTCCTTCGGCATTTAAACAAGAAAGTAATGGACATTAGGGTTATCAGGAAGATACCATTATTTTTTTTATTCTAATCTAGATATACTCCTAGCAAATTGGATGCTTCAAAATTACAGCATTTTTTTGCCTCAAACTAGGCGTTGTAGATTACAATTTCATATGAGAATGTCATGTCTATCTTGTCGTTACAAGAAACAAGTCACCAATCCTTAATTTCTTATTCTAATAAGCAATTGAGTAATAAAGGAAAATATTTACTTAATCCAGCACAACATTACGTTTTTTCTTTTTTTGCATTTTTGCATGTATTTTTGTATTTTTGAGTGTATTTTTGTATTTTTGCATTTTTGCATGATTATATGTAATTCAGTATTAAATCCAGGAAAGTAATGGATAACAGTGAGATGCCATTAATTCTTTAGTCCTAACCTATATTACAATTTCATACCTCGAGAAATATAACCATGTGTACCAGCAAAAAAGCTAAAACCCGTCTGAGATATTTCAGCAACACCAAAATCAGCAATTTTTGTCACATAATCTTCATCAAGCAGCTGAAATCCTCAACCATCACCTTTCTCTAATTGCTTCACAACCACTACCATCCTGTTTTTCTTCAGCGTGATTCGATAAACCTTTCCGTTACCACCATGGCCGATTAAATTATCTTCGTCCAAATGACTTATTTCATCAGCACCAATATCCACTTGTGAAAAGATGCTAGTTTCCATTTTTTTACTTGCTTCCTTTTGACATTTTTGTAACTTGTTTGCCCTTTGAATCCTGAAGCTTCTACACATCAAAACCGCGGTGATGAAGATAACAATAATGACCAAGAGCATTACATATTTATAACCAAAGAGAACTCTTCTATGACCATGATCTTTACCACAAATCTTCAAATCAGAATTTATTGAACTTTTTGGAATTTTCTCAACACATGAACCTTTGTTTCAACCAAAAACAGCACTGTGGATGTTAAACATTTTGATTCAGTCATGTCTCAAACATTATGGATCAAACATAAAGTACACTGTTTTACGTTTTAAAAAAGAATTTTGAAGTTCATATATATAAAATGACACCACATGTAATGTACAATAACTTGGTCATACAATATTCACTAAATTAGGCCTCTAATTAGAACTGATAACCTGGTGAGCATGAAATGATATCACTGATCTCAAAGTGTATCAAAGTCATATTAAAAAAGTTGAGATTAACCATCACTGTAATGAATATGATTATTAGCCATTAGTCATGACTATAGGAGAAAAGTCATATAAGTAACTAAATAAATTATTTGAAAGGCTTCTAATGCATTATTATAATTAGCTAAATGGATTACTTGAAAAGCTTATAATGCATTATTTGAGCATGATATTATATCACTAATCTCAAAGTACTAAAGTCATATGTGTTCAAAGGTTATTCTTCTCAAAAATATTAATGCAACATCAAACTCCATAATCTTAAAAGCTCAAAGAGAGAATGGGAAATTACAGTCCCCGTGGCATTACATAAATAAGCATCACATAAACAAAAAATAATACAAGGAAAACAATATAACATGCTCAAACCATGTCCAAGTAACATTACCATGCACATATATTTTTATTCAAACTACAGGAGGCAAATTGGACGGACCATATAAAAGAGGCTTGAATTTCAAGTCTCCCATTCATGTCTTGGGGTCAGAGTGAACCAAAGAAACACCATATAATAAAATAGAGGTAAGTAAAAACTATTGAGCTGTGATTGGTGCCATTAATAGTATTAATAGAAATGGACAATTTTATTGATCATAAAGTTTCTTATGTATCATACTAGTACATAAAACAAGATACTGCAAAGGTGGCAACAAAAAAATTGAGACCTATAATTAACTACAAAATATACACGGCGAAATCAAATGTGATGGAATCATATTGCTCAATCAATTCCTTAGAGTTAAACCGGTTGTTTTCTTGTGTCGACGCAAAGGGGTTATTTCTTAATAAATATTCCAAAGATTGATTTGATGGAATTGATAAATGATTCATGGAATCTTTTCAATAACGGGTCGAATTCTGGGGATGCCCATGCATTTGCAAGGTCAGGATCAGTTCTAATTCTGTGTTAAACATAACAGCATTAATATGAACCAAAAAAAGAGATGGTTCAGGGGCTAGGCTCACCAGGTTATCAGTTCTAATTGTGTGTTAAAACATAACATCATTCATTAATATGAACCAAAAAAAGAGATGGCTAATTTTGTGTTAAAACATGATCCTTAGAGTTAAACCGGTTGTTTTCTTGTGTCGACGCAAAGGGGTTATTTCTTAATAAATATTCCAAAGATTGATTTGATGGAATTGATAAATGATTCATGGAATCTTTTCAATAACGGGTCGAATTCTGGGGATGCCCATGCATTTGCAAGGTCAGGATCAGTTCTAATTCTGTGTTAAACATAACAGCATTAATATGAACCAAAAAAAGAGATGGTTCAGGGGCTAGGCTCACCAGGTTATCAGTTCTAATTGTGTGTTAAAACATAACATCATTCATTAATATGAACCAAAAAAAGAGATGGCTAATTTTGTGTTAAAACATGACCAAAAAAAAAGAGATGGTTCAGGGGCTAGGCTCACCAGGTTATCAGTTCTAATTGTGTGTTAAAACATAACATCATTCATTAATATGAACCAAAAAAAGAGATGGCTAATTTTGTGTTAAAACATGACCAAAAAAAAAGAGATGGTTCAGGGGCTAGGCTCACCAGGTGTTGTGGGCCGGAGGTGCAACGGCCCGTGATCCCCCCACTGTCAGGAGTAGGAAGTGATCGCTGCTCTGTGAAACCAGCCTCACGCAATACCCTCCTGTCTAAGACTCACAAGACCCGTGCCTTCGCACAAGTCCCGTGGGTCAACTCGCAACTTGGAGTGGGCAGGCCAGCATGGTGCAACAACCAGACCAACCTGTTAAGCCTTAGCCATGTTCCAACACCTTGATGCCCCCACATGGGTCACAAGCTGGCGCTACTCAGCTCGGCAAACTAACTAGCATGTCAAACATTTATAAACACATGTTTGTGTGATGTTCTAGCCAATGTGGGACTTAATGGATATAAATTTGTATAGTATATATGCTATTAGGCTGGAACATGTTATAAAACTGATGATTGAAAAGATGTGGTTGTAAAGGCTTACTTTGTACTAGTCACTCCCCCGCAACTTTTGACATGTTATAACACTAATCATTGAAAATATGTTGTTGAAGGAAAAGTGTTAAAAACCGTAATAAGGAAAACTCTTGGTTCAATATTCCCTGAGTTTGTTACTGACTACACCAGACAAAATAAACTAACCATGTTTTTTCTGCATTCTCATGAGTAACAGGTCTATTCTTTGGCGAATTATGTACATTGTTCTTCCACATTCCGCAGTTGGCCGAATTTCGGTCCCAAAAACAGCACAGCACTGCAGATGTTGAACATTTTGTTTCAGTCATATCTCAAATTCAAATAGATAAGCTTAAATAACACAATCCAAACAAACAAACCCTAAGTCTTCAATTCAAATAAGTAAGTTGAAGATGATGATGAAGAAGAATAAAAACAAGAGCGTAAACCTGATTCCTTGAAGCTTCTTCTTTAGATGAAACTTTCACCACAAAAAGGAATGCTTTTGATTTTGAGAAACTATACGAAAAAGGGTTTGTTGGCGGTGGGAACAAAAGAATAGCGAGTGAGAGCTCTATCAATTTGCTACTCCCGCGGAATTTTTATATTTTTCCAATTTTATAATTAATCTATAAATCATTTATTTATAAACTAATTATTTAATAATTTATATTATTGATTTTGTTTTTATTTAATAATCATTTAGGTTTACGTTACTAATGTCGTCATCTTATTCTTCAAATCCTCTTAAGATAGGTTATTCGGTGTAAATATGAACATTATTGTTCTGACTATAAAATAGTTTTGGCACTATAACTTAGAGAACTTGTCAGTACACCCTGGTTGAATCTCATAAATACTCTCATGAAAAGTATCAGTCAGAGGTGTGACCGAAAAATATATGTCCTTAAAAATTTTCAAACTGTCAATATACACTTAAAACATATTTCATTACTACAAATAACGTTTGTAACGTCGGATGCAAAATGCGTTTTACATCGACTATCCAGGCGAGCTAAATAAGATCGTCATGAAAAAACTCAACTTAACACCTCGCTATTTTAAACACCGAGGTTATAATTGAAAAGGTCATGGATTCGATCCATTGGAACTCCATATTTTTATTTTCTACATTTTGTTGCGCGCGTCATATAACTGTCAGTTTTATTTATAATCTGAGGTAATAAGGTATTCATTTACCTCGGTTTTATGTAATAATTGATAGGGATTTAAAATGAAGTTTTTTGGCTATATTTATCAATTTCACTAGCCTGTATCATTTTTTGCATGTACCATTTTCACCGGCCTGTATCGTATCATTATAATAAATCTATTAACCTGCCGGTATCATTTTTTACACAAAAACTACAAAATATGTAACAGAATTGGAATATATCATATCATTTTAAACCAAATGTGCAAATTTACATTGTTATCATCAAGAGAGAGTACACTTGTTTGACATGATCATATATGCGCATCAAAATGACAAAACCTTTGTTTGTATACAGAATAAGATTATAGCAACCAAGAAAAACTATTGTTGTGGTTGTCGAGCTTCATAATGAGATAAGAAGACATTGGCCCGACGTGATCGGATGTCATCAATATCTTCTTTTGATTATGGTTTTTGGATGCTCATCTCCTATAATTAGAACAAAATTTAAACTATGATACCTTCCAATTAGAGAAACATAATCCATTGTCAATTCGTTAGGCTAGCAACATAACTTCCAAATTGATCGGTAGAAATCTCTTGTGGTACATGAGCAGTCTTTAAAATTTTCATTAAAGCTTGTGCCTGAGCTTCGGAACACAGTAGCAGGGATAACATATAGGTCTTGGATGGGGTTTTCCCCAGCTGTTCAAAAAAATTGTAATTGCTTCTATGATCTTCAAAACCTCTTCCATTTCTTATCTAGAGGTATCCTTGATTGTAGCTTCTTTTGGTACCTCCATTTGGGCAGGCTCTATCATTGGCTCTTTACCTCGAGCTTCGGCAGTCGTCTTGGTAATTGTGACTTGAACAGGTGGAGAGATTTATAGGGAGATGATCCTTATGCTTCTTGTTATTTTACTGTTCCCTATAATATTGACAATACTGGGATCAACATATTCATCATCTTCGTTAGACAACTCTTGTTTAATATCAATAGCACTTATGCCTTTGTCATGCTTCGGTATAGGAGCAGTAATCACGTTTGGAGTCTCAAGAGGGTCGAACTCAATTTCCTTGTTATCAATTATGTCTTGGATTTTGTTTTTCAGGGTCCAACCATTGTTGGTGTCGTGCCTGGGACTGTTCGAATGATAGGCACATTTTTCATTTGGATTGTACTTCGGAGAGGATGTGTTGGGATTAGAAGTAGGATCTCTGAGTGTTATGAGGTCAGCGTTTAACAGGTGTGACCGAAAAATATATGTCCTTAAAAATTTTCAAACTGTCAACATACACTTAAAACATATTTCACTACTACAAATAACACTTGTAACGTCGAATGCAAAATGCATTTTACATCGACTATCCAGGTGAGCTAAATAATATCGTCATGAAAAGTCTCAACTTAACACCTCTCTATTTTAAACACCAAGGTTATAATTGAAAAGGTCATGGGTTCGATCCCTTGGAACTCCATA